GTGTTAACAAGCCCTCCAGGGGATTCCATTGCAGGCTGAACTTGAGAACCACCGCTATACTGGTTAACAGCGTGTGCAACGCTTGATCCAAGTTGCCCGGGTTCAAATCCCAGCTCTGCACTTACTGGCTGTATGACTGTGAACAAGCTCCAAAGCCTCTTTGTGCCTTGGTTTCCTTATCTGTAAACCTGTGACGGTGTTCTTAGTATTTACGCTTATGGTGGTTGTGAGGAGTTTACATATGTAAAAGCAATTATGCGGTAAACACCAGGTAAGGGCTCGCTATGTTAATTTTCTGACGGCAAAGTGATTTGTACTGGTTTGTTGAAGGTGAAGTATCCCTGACAGAGTTAAGGTGCCTTGGATATTTGATCCCTCTCTGTATACCATGCTAGCTCTTGAGGTGAAAATTGGGTAATATCAAGTGACATAAAATCAATAAGAGCTTAGCCAATTATATAATAGTGATGTTCATTCACTCTTCTTACTCAAATCTGTGTGTGTGTAGCAGTTTACCTTGATTTGCAGAGCTCTATTTCCAAGTATCCTGTTCCTTTTCTATCTTTTTAGTGGTAAAAGTTTGGACATAATCCTCTATATATGATATATTACATAATAAAAAAGTAAAAATCCTTGCTTTACTAATTTTCTAAAATGATTGGGTTTTGACTTTCATTCTATTTGAAAATTGAATTTTCCCTATTCTGTAAAGTTGGTCCATCGGTGTATGAATGCTGTTTTGTATCTTAGTTTACCGTTTAGTCAAAACACATAAATGGTAAAGGAATATGTTGCGAAGAAATAAAGAAACAAGACCACAGACTCACCTTATCAAATATTTCATAAATCTGCTTGCTTCAGACTTAGAAATTCTGCTTTATCAGGAACATTTTTCTACTAAGTGATTAGTAGTAAGCACAGTTGTACTTTGTCCAGGGCAGTATGACCTTAATGGGTACCATTTGTCAGGAAAGGTCAAAGCCAGGCCACCAGGAGCTCAGATGCCTCCTGCCCTTCTCCAAGGCGAAGAACACAAAGATCCACTGTGTTTACCCTTGGTGCATTCTGCCTCTCGGCCTGATGGAGTATCGTCAACATGGGCAGGTGCCCTGGAGGCTGTGTGATGGGAGGGACCACACAGGGGTGACCTCTCCCACAAGCACCAGTTCTACCAGTCTTGTGAATGGCTTGCTGTTCAATCAATTCTATCCCCAGGGTGAATTTGTGAAAATTTCTAGAAATGTCTTGTTCGGCTTATTAATTGTTAAAAACTTCATTTGCCCAGATAATCACAATACGAGGAAACTCATGCCCTGGGGTGGGATAACATTATTGTATCCTTGAAGATGGAATGCATATTCATCATGAAACATGGGGTCTGTGAGTTGGTTGAGAACAAAATAGGCAATAAATTCATTCAAAATTGTCTCTCTCTCTTGTTTCAGGATTTTCTTTCATGGTATATTCACCTGAGTGTGTCAGTCATCTCAGGAGGAAGGTCTAAATAATCCAGTCGTGGTGGTCGTTTTGGCTAGACCCTAGGATTCTTTACCTGGAGGTGACACATACTTTAGCCGGGAACAACAGACCTCGACCCTACTGAAGTGAGGTTTAGAAGGGAACCCGTTTTTTACAGAGCAAAATCAGGTGCATCTCATTTGAAGCTGCACTTTTACAGTCAGTAGACTAAGAAGGCCATATGTCACTGAAGAAAGATAAATAGATGCGGGTCAGACCAGAAGCGCCTTAATGACTTGCCATAAAGAGTGTCTCTCAAATACCTGTTATTGGAAGTGTCGAGGGTGAGCCAGCAAAGTTTTCTTTTTTTCAGGTTCCTCACCCTGGCCGTGTGACCGTGTGTCAATGTGTTCTCAGTGTAGACAGCGTTCTGCTTAGGAGGGGGAGTAGGGCGAGACTGGGAAGGTCACTGGAGTGCCACCAGCAGGCCTCAGGCATCCCGGACCCCTTCCTGCACACACCTCTTACTGCTTCCTACCCTGACCCTGATGCTAGAATGGCTCATGGCTTCTGCTCCTGTGCCAGCCCTGAGGATCTCAACGAGTTGTCTGTATCCAGCCAATGCTGGCATTTATGTGCAGTAGATTTTGATCCCTTCCCTTATTCTTCCCTTATCCCTTGCTCAGTATTTTCAACCTGGGCCCTAGATATTTGGTGGCTCAGAGCCTGGGCTCTGGTTTTAAGTTCTGGTCACCCCACTTAATACCTTACCCCCTCTCGGCTCCATGCCCTCAGCTCTAGAAGAGGCACAATAACAGGACCTGCTTCTGGGGCTTCCTGGGGAATCGAGAAGAGGCTCTTGGCGCATGCCTGCATATTGAGAGCACGCAGTAAATCTGTGTTCCTTTGTCCATTTAGTCCAGGTATTTTAAGTCCGTGCTCTACCTCCTCTCCCTTCCAAGGCACCTGAGCATCCTAGATCTAAGCATCTGAATTCGAGACTGCCTCACTGCCAGTGAGCCACAGAATTTCCTTCTTTCCTGGCTCAGCTGTTAGATCCCAGGTCTCTAGGCAGCAAGGACCAGTGTCATCCTCACTGTGAAGTCAGACAAGTGTGGCCGACAAACACCACGAATTCCCAGGGGCCCCAGCGGGACTCAGGAGCAGAACCAGGATAGAAAGTTGGCTCCCCGTGTCCACTAATCCCCACTCACCCTGTAGAATTCATTTCTTCCACATTGTGGTTGTTAATCCTTCTTATCAACGCTCTTCTCCTGAGCCCCATGTTCAGCTTTTGATTCATGTTCCCCCTCTTTAATTCAGCTCCTTCCCCTCTTCTCTCCTTTTCTCTGCTTTCTCTCTCCTATTTTTGGATGATGGCCTTCTGTTGCATCCCCCACTCTCTCGTGATAGACTGCCATTTCCTTTATCATAATCCCTACTTTTTAAAAATAAAAGCTCATTCTAGTTCTTTCTACCAGCTATGCCGCACTCATATTTTGGACTGTGTTTTCATGCATCTTTATTACAAGTCCTTAAAACTTGTGTGCTGGTAGCATCACGGAAGCTCTGTAAATAGCGACAGGTGACCCTCGGCAATAGCTCCATACACTGATCCCCTTTGCCTTGAGGGCGGCCTTGCGCCCTGAAGTTCTCACCGTGTCTTCCTTCTAGCAGGTGCCGTTCTAACGGGACTGTCTTGTGCTTCCTTTGGGACCAGTGCTACTTTTCCCACAGTGCTGTTCATAGTGTCTGTGTTATTTCTGGATAAGGGTCTTTTCCGACCTTCCAGGACAGAATTTATGTCTTTTCACATCTGAACTTCAAAGCTTTGGACTTGCCATCCCCTCTTGCTGTTTTCCATGAACACCTCCTATCTCCCCGCTCACAGTTACCTCAGGAATGGGGGGTGATTTCTCAACAGGGGGTGTGACACATGCATGTCGGAGAGCGTGTTAAAGATGGCAGGCCTGGATGCGGCCCCGCAGACTCTGTTCAGCAGCTGAGTAAACTGCTTTGAGCTGCACCTACTGTTTTCAGCTTGGAAAAGATGACAATAGAGTTTCCTTCTAACTTGAAGCCATGTAAACAGGAAAAATTAGGTCTCCTCTGAGAAATCTAAAATTTTTAACTCAGCTGTTTCACTGGCCTCACAAATGAGATAAATTTTGTTCCTTTGTCACAGGTTGTCTTTCGTAATAATCTCAAAGGCAGTTTGTGGTTATGGAAAACCCTGAGTCCACTTACTTTCTTTTCACTAGCTAGTTCTTTCACTTACTAGCTTTTGATCTTGGCCACATGTCTGTAACCTCGTTTCTGAGTCTCAGTTTCCCCAGCTGTAAAATGGGGATAATGATATTCTACTGCACTTTCGGGAATGATGTAAGGACCGAGTAAAGCAAAGCATGTGAAGGTGCTTTATAACCAATTTAAATGTACAGTATTAGTAATGTGATACTCATCTCAAATTTAGTATTTAATTCTAGTCATTTTTCTATTGTGTAAGATATTGCAGCAAAATACTTCCAGCACCAGGAGGGTTGAATCTTTCCATGGCCAAAATAGCCCCCTTCCCATCATGGGAATTTCAGGCCATTTCATGCCAGTGACCCTGGGACGTCGACTCAGATTCAGTGTCCTTGCAACACATGAAGGGACATGACTGTCCCTAACACTGCTCTGTCATGACATGTGGGTGAGCAGGAAGAAACCCTCACTCCATCTTCCCACAACCCCTAGGGTTATGTTAGTTGAAAACTGTAAAAAATATAAAAATATTCCCTGTGGAGCCCAATGGAAGGATTGGACTCAACGAGTTTGCCTCAGAGAACCCCAGCCATGGCTCACAGCTGTGCTGGGATCAACTGTAAAATCACTCAGCATACACCCACAGTTACACGGGCCACGTGAGAAAGGACTCCACACTCACCATAGACTGTTCAAAGCCTTAATTAAAAGAAAAGAACTGATGATTATGCGGGAATATGATGTAGCTTCTTGTTTCTCCTTATTTCACAGGAACTAATGTGTGAAGATTGTCAGGTCCTAATTAAAAAAAAATGAACAGAGCACAACTTTGTAGATGCTCATATTGATCCTGATTTTAATATTTTCTTAATTCTTTTCCTCATTGCCCCCCCCACTTTCTCTCTTTTTAGAGTTCATTAGCCGTAAAGTAAGCAATAATATGACTTAATTAATTTCTAATTTACCCTACTTCCAAAAAGGATTTGGCATGAGTATCCATAGCAAGTTTTTGGGGACGTTGAGGGATTCTCCTGTGTTCGGGAGAAAGCTGGTTTCCGTGAAGTGCCCCAGTACGTATTCATTTCTTTCTAGATTGTGTCTAGATTGTGTCATGTCTAGATATGTCCTATGTGATGTCATGCCAGCCGGAGCTGTGGTAGGTCACTGTGCACGGCACTGCACAGGTGGATCTGATCCACCTTTGGCATTTTTTATTCTAACACCAAGGCAGGACAGAGGGAGAAGGAGCTGGGGGACCGTGTGCTATTCACCGTGCCATCTTTCCTTTCTTTCAGAGATTCTGACCTATTTTTGTTGGACACCCGCGTAGTGTGGGCCTCGGAAGAAGGCTGGCTGGAATTTGACATCACGGCCACTAGCAATCTGTGGGTCGTGACACCACAGCACAACATGGGGCTTCAGCTAAGCGTAGTGACTCGGGATGGTAAGTTTGCCAAAATCGGGCCAATAGTCATTTTCATTTACTTCCTTTACAACCGTTGTGGTAGAACCATAGCTTACGGTTGAGTTCCTGGCTCCAGGATGACTTCATTTACTGTTCTCTCATAACTGCTATTGAAAAGCAAAACGCTTTCCCTGAGGTCTCCTAGAAAGGACTTGGAGAAAGTTAGATGGTCAAGGTTCCAAGAGTAACAATGGGAAGACAGCTGTCATAGGCAGAGGCAGGCAGAGGACGTTGAGATAAAGGGAAAGATGGGAGCAGAGTCTAAATTCTGTTGAGTAGGTTTGCGAAGGAACCTTCCAGCACCCCCTCCTCCTGCAGCATTGAAGCTCAGCAGTTCAAGGTCCCGTCACGGGCCCTCAGACTGATCACACTCTGCCTGTGAAGTCGCCTCACTGATTGGGAGGTATATGATCAGAAAGAAAGAATGAATATGAAGGAAAAAGACTAGCAGAAATGGGAGAGCCTGGGAGTTCACACCACTCCTTGCTTTGATTCACGGAACGTTGGATGGAGTGTTTTGATTTGGCCCATCCAAAGGGAGCCATCAGAGGTCTGAGAGTGCGTGATGCTTTTTCCTCATGCTCATTCTCGATGATCAACCCCTGGGAGACTAGGAGGGCTCAGTGATGTAGCCGCAGGAATCTGTTTCCATGGAATAAAGAGAGACGTGCTTTGGTTTGCATTCAAGGACTCAGCATCAACCCCCGAGCTGCAGGCCTGGTGGGCAGAGACGGCCCTTACGACAAGCAGCCCTTCATGGTGGCCTTCTTCAAAGTGAGCGAGGTCCACGTGCGCACCACGAGGTCAGCCACTGGTCGGCGCCGACAGCAGAGTCGCAATCGCTCTACCCAGTCCCAGGACGTGTCGCGGGTGTCCAGTGCTTCAGGTAGGTTTGGGTGAAGCCTGTTTTTCCAGGAAGGCTTGTTCTCAGGCCTCAGTGAGAACAAAGGATGTGCTGATGGTTTCAAACGTTGCACAGCTTCTGCACAGCCAATACAATAGCCTGCAGGTGCCTTGTCACCATCACTGATTATCTAGATGGGTTCCTAGGGCGATCAGAAGGGAAGACTTGTTACCCAAAGATTGAGTCTGCAGGCTGCAGTCATCCTGGGTGTCTATTTTTCCAGAAAAGCATCCTTCTGTTTGGTAAGATTTTTCCAACTCTTTTTTTCCTTCACATGAAGATCCTGAGAGCACCTAGATTTTCTTCTAGTTGCATTACACCTGGGAGGTTCTGATGTACAAATAAACTTTGTACATTTGTGTAAGATGGACTTGTATTTGTTGGTGTTCTTGGCTGGAAGTGATGGAAAGCCAGCTCTGACAACCCTCTATGACAGATTTCATTGGTTCATTGAAAGTTCAGGGATTCTAGCTTTCGGCATGGCTAGATCCATGGGCTCAGATGATATTAGAAATCTCTCTCTCTTTTTCTATTTTCCTTTGTTGGTGGCATTCTCAGAATGACTATCTCTACATGGCAGTAAGGAAGGCAACCAATAGTTACAGGATTTTATCACCCTTGGTGACCTCAACTTCAGAAAGAGAGCATCTCTTTCATGGTCGCTCCAGTAGAAAGCCAGGCTGGGGCCATGTGCTCACCCCTGGCGCTAGGGAATGGTGTCAGCCTCATTTTGCCCTAAACAGGCATGTTCAAAGGGCACGAGAGAGGAAACAGCTCCCACTGCTTGAGTGTCAATTCAGTGGTCCTTCAGAAATGTTCCCTCCCATGCTGTGCCTTTTCAGGAAGTGGCGTCGAAGTCCACTCATCAGAACATGAAGGAGGGGGCAACAGGTGTTCCCTCCTGATATCCCACTCACACAGCTGGTAAGAATTGAATTCAGACCGAGATGCATCTTACACTACAGCCAGTCCTTGAAAGTTCTAGGTTTCCTTTGGCTGTTTAGCCTGGGAATCAAGCATGAAGCTGAAGATTTGCTGTAGGATTTGGAGTCAAAGATCTTGCTTCCCTTGTTACTAATCTGTGACTTTGGACAAGCCTCATCCATTTCAGCTTCAGTTTACTCATCTGGGGGGATGATGAATACTTGGTAGATTTGCTGGGATTAAATGAGGAGCATTTGATCTGGCTCATAATAACGCTCAAAGATTAGTTACATCCAATTATGGGAAGTAGGTTCTCAGGGTGCATGTTAGGATCCTTGGAAAGGATGTAAAATACTTCTGGAAGACGCGTTAATTCTGCGAGGTGACTGTTTAAAAATGTCATCTTCAGTGGCTGAAAAGAGTTGATGCAACTCCCCAAAGTACCCAATTTTTCTTTGGGAAGAAATGTCTTCTTTTTAGGTTCTGACTTAATAAGCCATTTCTTTTCCCCATCACTTGGATGTGGAACTTGAGGATCCACCACCCAGTGTGATGTGACATTCTGCTTCTTGTCATCCTGGTGTTTCTTGGAAGCATTGCACAGCATGGGTGTTCCTGTGTTTACCACTAGGAACAGTCAGGGTTGGGGTTTAAAAAAAAAAGAAGAAGAAATGATTGCTTTCCTTCATTCGCTTCAGAGGAAGCCTGCTGAATAGAGTTAATAATCTCAGTGTTTCCCTTCAGGGCATGGTGACGGAGTCGGCCAATGGAGCGCTCCAGTTCATTAATGAATTGTGGTCACTTTGGTACTGGGACCTCAGACATGAAGGCAGCTCTTGAAATGTTGATTGCTTTTTAAAATTAAAATTTCACTTGATTTATTCAACATCCCCTCCCCCCAAAAAAAACACACACCAGTTTTTTCAAATTGAGAAAACATGTTGTCTTTGATTTTGGCTTTAGCAGTGTCACCCAATTATTCCTTCCCAGGTCTTTTTCAACTTTTTTTTTTTTTCAGTTTGATGAGTTTAAATTAAATATGAATTTTAAAGTTGATCTAATTTGTAATAAGATGCAAATATATCTACTTTTTCTTGGTCTTCCCACCCCCCACCTCCCAACCCAGTACTTTCAAATTTGCTTTGCTTCTTCCAGCAGTACTAAGACAAAAGAGTTCATAGCAAATACCTCTGGCCTCACCTACTGAAAGGCACAGACCCCCAAGAAAGTATTACTACAAAGGGTCCTCCTTCCCTCTCACTCTCTTCAAAGACCCTCTCAGGCTGATCCAAGAAATTGCTCATGTTAGGCCCAATGAAGTGCTACTTTATGTACTTGGCTTTTTCTTCCTTATTTATCATTACCATTAATGGGAGTGGCTATTCAGAGGAGAGATTGCTCTTGGAGAAGAGATTTCCAGAAAGATGACCTTCTACCCAGAGAAATGGGCTGTCCAGTTCATGCTTTCTTTTCAGGCCACTGTGGGGCCAGATGTTGCTGGGCCTTCATGAACCAGGTAGATGCTGCTGAGACAAAAAGCTGTGGTCGCTGGTGTGACTCCAGCCAGGACTTTCCCCATCTAAATCTTTCGGAAGTCTGAGGGAAGAGATTACTTTGCCTCTGCTGCCCCCCTTCTTCCACAGTGTGCTCCCAGGGAATTAATATTTCTCCAGTGAAACAACCACCACCAGAAGAAGCCCACCAGAGACCATCCTGTGTCTGGATAAAGAAGTTAACATAATTCATCAAACTGCCTGTCATCAGGGTGCAAGATGGCAGGGAAATATGTGGCTATTTTTGAAACTGAACTGCAGATGCCTGAGACGGCACGACCAGTCCACAACAAGGAAAAGGCTGAGAGCCCCTTCCTCCTCCTCCCCACCGCCCACCAAAATTTGCTCTAACATCTGTACTTGGCCTTCAAGCTGGACTTTCCAAACACATGCACCAAACAGTTGGGTTTGGATCGACGTCTCCCTGGATAGTTTTCGCTTGCCCTTGCTTCTCTGCAGCTGTCTGCTCTAAATGAGCGATGGATTTTGGCTGTGTTGCACTTCTCCACTGGGCTTGGATATCATCTAGACAGTATCGTTCATCGTTTTTACACATGTTTTACTAGTGCTGGTCCAAGCCATGCTGTGCAGCCCACTGGGGATTCTAGTGAATCTGGCAATTCTTTTTCAGCCTCCATTTCTATCAGCCTACTGCTCTGTGACAGCCTACCCTTGGGTTCTTTAGCTCTCATTTGGTAGTCTCTTTCTACTGGCTGTCATTCACTCTCTTTTATAGTATCTTTTTCTTGGGGTTCAGTATTTTGTCTTCTGGGTGACTGGCCAATCCATTACAAGGGCTGTGAACAAATGGCCTTGAGGACGGTTCCATGTTGTGATTCTAAATACAGATCTAGCTAATTTTCCAGGATCTTTCCGAGACATCTTTGGGGAGGGAGTAGTTAATGCAATTTCAAATCAGCTGATGAATCTGAGGTTTCTGGAATATCAACCAGCTGGCTGCCAACACTGTGACTTGGAATTGCTCTTTGTTTTGGCAGATGATGGTTTGGAAACATTTCCTGCCACTTTTAACAATTCATATAAAATTGGATTAGGTGGCCCTTAGGCCTCTTTCATCCTTGATATTTATGTTGCCATCACCCAGCTCTGCCAACCGTCTATGACCCAGCAACTTCTCAAGACCCTGTCTGTCCTGTGGAGTGAGTCCTTCATTGCTTCAAATGCTACCTGTTAGCATTTCTTAGATTCAATTCTCCTTCCATCTCTTTACACCCTACTCAAACATGTATCTTTAAGGATCCTGGGAAAAAATGTGGCCCTGGTGCCTTTAGATACACTATTGACCTTCTTCCTGATAATTCGTATCTTCTATCCCTTCCCAGTTGGGACCATTCAGTATGCTTCCAGCGTAAGAAAGGTAACCAGAATTCATCACTTGCAAAACAATGGTTTGGGTACTTTATTATGACTATGAAATCTTTTGCTATAGATTCAGGGAACTTCATTCCACAGACTAGGGGGTCTCATTTTTACAGATCAGTTTTAATTTGGCCTTTTAGTTCCTGGCAGGGATTCCCAGTAGTTCATCATTTGCTTCCGTGGGTTGGTGTGCCAAGCTGAGTGGACTGACCTACTATGGAGAGTCAAAGCTTGGGAAGAATGGACCTGGGTCAGGGCTGTGATTTAGCTGTTTATAGTTCTTCAAAGAAGTTGGGAATTTTAATTTGTCATTTTGATCTTAAATTAAAATTTTAGGGCCTGCAGCTTGGCTTCCAGATGTCTCAGTCAAGAAGTAGAGACTTGTTCAGGACTTTCTAAATGAAATCAAATCTTAATTCTCCACAGCTGTGGAGGACAGGCATGGCATTAGCAATTCGAAAGTTAGAATTGTTGCAAACTCCATATTTGTGATACTTGACTCTCATTTGCCATTAAGCCCCATTAGGATAAAAGTTATCAAGGAGTGAAATAGACTGGAAGGTTACCTTCTTTCCCATCCCTAGGTTCACCCCATGTGAATGTGCTAACGGCCAGCAGTGCTAAAAGGCGATAACAAAGAGGTGTAAACACGTGTTGCAAGAAGCTTGAATAATTCACCAATGACTGCCCACCCGCAAGAGGGAACCGGGCTGGGCCACTCAGCCTAGGGAGTGACGGAACAGAGGTGCTTGGAGCACAGCCAGTCTTACCTTAGAGCTCAGTCTTTGAGGGAAGCCTTTGTCTATTTTCAAGATACTTAGCTCTGTATTCTTTTATGATTAAGACAAAGGCTGAGGTGTCGGCCCCGTGGTTTAGCGGTTAAGTGCACGGTCTCCACTACTGGCGGCCCGGGTTTGGATCGCTGGCGCGCACCGCTTCTCCGGCCATGCTGAGGCCACGTCCCACATACAGCAACTAGAAGGATGTGCAACTATGACGTACAACTATCTACTGGGGCTTTGGGGGGAAAAAAAAGGAGGAGGATTGGCAATGGATGTTAGCTCAGAGGCGGTCTTCTTCAGCAAAAAGAGGAGGATTAGCATGGATGTTAGCTCAGGGCTGATC